AAGAACCCATCGGATATTTTGAAAGTGAAGTTATGGAAATTCACATCTCAACTGGATGACTTATTTGATATTGCTCTTCAATCGAAAGTAGATACAATGAAGAACGACGTAGCAGTAACTTTATTGAATTTGCATAGGGAAAAAGGACGCAACGGTATTTTGGACACAATCATTGACACAGGAGATTTGAGTGTTAGTGATACAGAAGAAAAAGAAACTACTAAAAAACCTACAGAAGGTAAGATAAGACAATCAATATTTATTACTGGAATCACTCGTAAAAAGTGACTTTCATTAAATTTCACCGTTTCAAGGTAGCTACAAGAATAATCGTTAGGAAAATTTGTGTCCTTCAATATTCAAATTATTTGCCAAAACTTCTGGGAGAGTCGTTGTTATAAATGTCTCAAAAACTTCATAGCCGATCAGCTTCTTTTTTTCGGGGTCCATAGAACTGGATGTGATGCCATAGAACTCGATGTGATTTTTTAATAATTTTTTGATCAAGTTCTCGTCAGTTCATCTCTAGTTATAATTTTTGAATCGATTTAAACAAATTTTTTCAATATATAAGTAGCAAATGCCCTGCTTGTTTGTTCATTAATTCAATTTTCCAGCCCAACCAAACAAAATCATGACCAATTTCGGCAACTACCTTTTGGACAACGAGGAGGACATCGAGGAGTTGTTGAGAATCATTGAAGATGAAGAAGATGAAGATTATAAAGTCCCATTACCATCCGTGAATCCTAAAAGACGTAAGATAATGAGTCCAGACATTGTTGCCATTTTGGATAGAGCCAAAGTTAGTGACCGCATGGCTGCCCGTATATTAGCAGCAGCCATTATGAATGCTGGCCTCACTTTGGACGAAGTGAGTCTGAGTCGCGAAACTGTCCGCCGAAATCGACAAATAGAACGCGAGTCGCTAAGTGAGCAAATTAAGGATACACTGAAAAGTCGGACATTTCACAGGCTCACTGTTCACTGGGACGGCAAGCAATTACCACGGGCAGATAACAAATACCAAAAAATTGAAAGACTTCCAGTCCTTATATCAGGCAATGACTGGTATCAATTGCTTGGTGTTCCTGGGCTGGAAAATGGAAGAGGTGAATTGCAGGCAGCAGCGGTCTACAATTGCCTAAAAGAGTGGAACGTCGTAGACGATGTATCAGCCATGGTATTTGATACAACTGCAAGTAATACAGGCAACGTGTCTGGTGCCTGTACCCTGCTTGAAAAATTAATTGGCAGGGATTTGCTATACTTGGCTTGCCGTCATCATATCTTTGAGCTCCTTCTGAAAACGGCATTTCAATGTACAATGGGAGGCACATCTGGACCGGAAGTTCTCATCTTCAAAAGGTTCCAAGGGCATTGGAAAAATATTGAAGAAGACAAATTTTCCCCTGGAGTGGATGATATTGGAGTGCGAAAAGCCCTGCAATACAATATGGCCGATAGTCTTGCTTTCGCTGAAGATCAATTGAAGGTTAGTGCTCATAAACTGTTTACATTGATTTAATTTACTCATGCTTCCTTTTTTCGAGAATTTTTTAACATATATTACGAAGTATAATATTCATTATGATTGTTATCTTTTACAGAAAGAAATCGTTCGCGACGATTACAAAGAGTTTTTGGAATTGATAATCCTGTTCCTCGGTGGAAATCTAAAGAAAGGGAATCGATTCCGAGCTTTGGGTCCCATTCATCACGCAAGATGGATGGCTAAAGCGATTTATTCGCTGAAAATGTTTTTGTTTAGAGACCAATTTCATTTGACATCTTCCGAAGAATCAGGGCTCAGAGAATTATGCATTTTTATTGTGGTGCTGTATCAAAAGGCTTGGTTTACCGCGTCCAATCCCATTACAGCACCAAACAATGACTGGCAATTGCTCAAAAAAATAGCTCAAAATATTGATACTGTTGGTTCCGTTTCTTCAAAAATTTGCAAAGCGGTATTCCATAAATTCGAAAAACATCTTTGGTATCTTTCGGAAGAATTAATTGCGTTTGCTTTTTTCGATAAAAACGTATCCATTGAAATTAAAAGAAAAATGTGCCAGGCTCTTAAAACCCATTCTGCTTTCAATAGTGAAAGAAATCCACGAGCAATTGAAATTAAAGATCAAAGGGCGGTACAAGAGCTAGATTTAGATTCATTTGTCAATGAAAAAACGATCAACTTTTTTAAAATTCTCACAATAGATAGTAGTTTTCTGGATAGTGATCCAACGACATGGGAGACAAGAGAGGATTTTATTAAAGCTTTTGAAATCGTCAAATCTCTCCATGTCACAAATGATATTGCTGAGAGAAGTGTGGCACTCGTGAGTGAATATAATAATTTGCTGACGAAAGATGACAGCAAACAGCGAGCACAATTAATTGTTCAGAAATTTCGAGAAATGTCTCCAAATTATACCAAAGATGCACTTAAATTTTCATTACAGACTTATTTAAATAATATAGAACTGAAACCGTAATATCATTCGTTAGGATTTAGTTCTTGAATATTTGAATATACCATTTAGTAGCAAATATATAGTTAATAATCACGATAATAAAAATAATAATAATAATAAGAATTGAAAATACTGTAAAACCTTGAATTTTTCCATAATCCGGACATAAAGTTATTTAATAAATGAATGTTTACATTACTTCCTTTCATTTATTACATATGGAACTATGACAGGATAGGTAAAAATTTGTAAACTTGACAGAAATAAAATTTAACATCTTATTATTGTGTTTGTGCTTTAGAAAATGAAGCTAAATAAAAACCTTATTTGACTAACTTCTCTCCAAATTATGGTACTTTGAGCATTCAAATTTTATTGAAATTAATATGAAATGAAGAATTCAGATATGATAAATTCACATTTATAAATATATTATTCTCATTCAAGTTATGAAAAACTGAAAAGATCTCACCGAAAGTGAATAAAAAAACTACGGTCATTTCTGGGGGACAATAAACGGCTTAGTCTCACTTGGAAAAAGTTTGGCCAGATGTCTGAAAAATGGCTGATGTAACTTGCATGAACGGCTCAGTAACTTAACCTGGAAAATTACTGNTGGCCAGATGTCTGAAAAATGGCTGATGTACCTTGCATGAACGGCTCAGTAACTTAACCTGGAAAATTACTGCCATAAACTCATTGCCTTTTCACCAATGTTTGTACCAAGAAACTATCAGTAGGTCAGAATTTCTGACAAAACTTTGAATTAATATTGCTGGCTCCAGGAAGGTTGCAAGAAGTCAGAAAAAAAACTATGGCCATTTTTTTGTATGAGTTATCATATGCGGGTTTAGCAAAAGCGAAATTCGAAAATGGATTTTAAATGGGCCACCCTAGTACACACTACACATGAATCTTTTCCCACGGTCCCACCAGGATATAAGATTATTGAAGTACTATCAAAAATCATTTACCTTCCAATCGCTGTACAAGCAATAGATCATCTCCAACTGAAAATTGTCGATCAAGAAAGTCAACTGGTTAATTTCAGAGGAGAAGTTATAACGATAAGATTACACATAAAAAGTTAATATGGGTATTGTTTTCAATACCAGGTCAGGAGGCAGTTATAAAAGCGAGTCATCATTCCCAATCGGAAACAGTCATCGAAAACCTCTCAAGGTGTTAACACCGCAGAATATCAAATTCCTAAAGAGTTTAGGTCTCAAACTTCGAAAAAGAAGACAGTAAGGAAAAAAATTCGTACATTCTTCTGCTGTTGCCCCATCAACTGTAATAAGCCATGGAAGAAATCCTGAAAATCCAAAAACCCATCATTTTTGATGAATTTATTGCGCATTATGAAATTGATGCGCACCAACCATTTGCGTCAGCAACTTTCAACAACAATGATGAAATTGGTATCGCTGTTCAACATCAAGATTTATGCTTGCTGCTGAGTAAGAGTTCACTGCATATACATGGACGTTTGACTCAATCAAATGGACGAACTGTTACTCACACGAGATTAATGAACAGTGCTATCCGTCATTTATTTGAGGAGATACGTTATGAACTCAATGCTATTGAGATTGATACGAGTAAGAACGATGGTCTCACATCACTTATAAAGAATTATATATCACAAACTCTAAGTCAAGCTGCTTTAATGGAAAATGCTGGTTGGATACTCAAGGACGATGAATCTACAATTGTTGATGATAATGGCTATTTTGATATATCCATTCCATTGAGTATGGTATTGGGATTCGCTGAAGACTATGGATGAATCATTGTAAATGCTAAGCATGAGTTAATCCTAACACGAGAAAATACTGACGTCAATTCAGTTATCCAGCAACCAGCAGATGAAGTTGTAGCTGAAACATTTAAACTCTCTCTCGATAAGATAGAGTATATGATTCCCTACATCAAAGTAGCTGATTCTAGGAAGATCAATTTGTTGAATTACATTTCTAAGGATGCACCTATTCCGATCAGTTTCCGAGTCTTGGGAATTATATGAGTACCCACTTTTACCAGCTACCTCTAAACATGTCTGGGTGTTGAAGTGTTCAACACAACTGGAGAAACCTCGATATGTCAGCGGGGGATTTCAAACTAACTGTAAAAATCAAGCTAATAAAAATGCTAGCCGTTTTGATCATTGCAATATTCGTGATATTAAGCTATTCCTCAATTCACAAAGTTACCCTTATGGTAATTTGAATCTTGATATCCCTCATAATCAATACGCATTGCTTTATGACATGTACACTAATTTCCAAAATTCTTACTGTGATAAAGAGGCGGAGCCACTTTTGAGCAGAGCCGATTTTCTTACATTTGCCCCACTCATTGTTATTGATTGTTCAAAACAGAATGAATATCTCAAATCTAGACCAGTAGATATTCGCCTTGAGTTCGAATCAGCTAATAATTTTCCTGCACAAACGACAGCTTATTGTTTGATTTTGCATGATCGTATAATTGAGTACAATCCAATTAGTGGAGGAGTGAAAAAATTAATTTAGACATATACAATAATTATTGGTACCAATTTGTTTATTGTATAATATAAAAATGATCAATAAAGAACAAAAAAATATTCATGTGCATGATTATTTATAGAGGATTTTTTTTTTAATTTTCCTAATCGGTATGGTTGTTGTTGCAGTCGATAGTGCCATCTTCGTCTCTTTTTGACTCGCCTATGCTCTTCACGAGATCGTTTCTCGCTTATCGTTTCTAACTTATCACCATCGTTGATATCCGACGAAGTACTAGGTACTGGTTCGTTCTCCTCTTCTGTCGAGTAATTGATTTTGATTCTTTCTTCAATTCCTACTTGTCTACGACTTTGAACAAGTTTGAAATTTCCTTGTAGATCGAGAAAATCTTGGAGAAAATCCCATGCCGTTTGTGGTGGATAATCACCGCAATAATTAATTACTATTTCATCATATTGAGAAACATACGGTATGATACTTAACAATTCAACTTCGTCTGGACTCAAGTGTGGTTCACTTTCCGAAGCACATCGACGTTTTTTTATAAGATCCAAATTTCCTTGCAAGTCAAGAAAACCTTGCAAACAGTTCCAAGCTTTCTGGGGTGGATTCTCACCATAATGCCAGATAACAACTTCATTGTCACTAACCCAAAAAGGTGGGAGTGAGCACAGGAATTTCACTTCGTCTGGACTCAATCGATCCATGATGAAGACTAACGGCCATCTGAGGAAAAAACTTTATATAAACAGCTGGAGAAGATTCTACACTGTTAAAAAAGTTTGTAAAATTATTATACTTTTGCTGCATCAAAGTATGGTAAAATTACAAATTCGATGGTAGAATCGGTTTTTACTATATTTTTGTATGAATATTGCAGTCAATATGTGGAATTTTACTACAATATATAGTGAAATTACTACAGGGGATTGTAAAATTATTATTCTCGTGTATGAATTTATTTGTATTTGAATTTTCGAATACAATTACCGGGAAAATTGTACTTTTCCAATATTTTTGCCAGACACACGTGTATTAAAATTACAATTTGTCCTTCAAATTTACAACAATAATTTAAGCGTTCCTTCAGAACTGAAAATTTCAAGTACAAACGGGAAAATTATTATACTTTTTCGAAAATTTTAGGATACTATCTTTTAATTTTATAATTTTTATTGCTTCTCAACATCTTTTGAAATTTAATTTTTAACCAACAAATAATAGAATTTCAGTCAATTTTTGAAATCTCAAACAATAGACTTTGGCTAGGCGTAAACGAAATCATAAATTATACTAAATAGTTGGGAGAAACGTTAAAATAAAACGTAGAAATAAAATTTTGGACAATAGTCCTCTTTTTTCTTATAGTTTTCACGTGAGGAAAATTCCCCATTTTTTGCTACCCGGTTACGGCATCTCCAGACAGAGTCCTGGTGGTCACCACATGTGCGCGTAACGAGACCGCGTCATCCTCCGGTCCGCTTTCCTTTTTTTTGTACATAGACTTTTCCGTATGCCTTTTCTTGGCCAATTGCAGTCTGGGGAAAATACTTTCCAACCAATACAATTTTAGAAATTCCTTCCAACCCTGAATTGCAAGGCCCATATACCACCTCATGAAAATCTTAAACTTTAGTCTTCTCCGAACAGTTCACAGATTCGTCTCGTAAACTTGGTGATAAAATTTTCTTATAAATGAAAAAGATCTTTAAATTCATTAAGAGAACGTTTTTCTTTCAATCTCGAAAATTTCAACGAAAATGCTTTTGAAACCCCAATTTTATGAAACTGCCGATCTTTTCTTCTAATACGTTATTACCACAGTGAACAGTTCATTATTATAGAGTGACTTATTATGGATTTTTGTGAGTGATATTATTGGGAAGCTGAGAATTATACTGGACGCTGTAGCGGAACAACGCAGGTAAATAAAAATTTCCTCCATCATTCGGGTAAAAAAGATAACAATGAGTTCTGAAGTAGAGTTTTTAGACATCCCGCAAGTAGATTCCTTTCAATTCCCTTTAATTTTTCTCAAGTTTGACATATTTTAGGATTTTTCATTTCTTTGTTCATTCGGTTTTTCCAGAAGAGAATGTTGTTCAGCTCGAGAAACAATAAAGCCTGAAAACATACATAATTTTTTTTTCTCCGAATATTTTGCTTTATTTCAAACATAATTTTGCCACGGTTTCAGTTCTATTATCGACAATTTGGAAGGCTAGAATTCGATTTTTTCTTAAAAATTATTTTTCCGTTGAAGACAAAAAAAAACCATAGGTACAGTCCAACCTCTACGCGAGATACGCCAGAGACTGTAGAATTCCCAGAACTTGTCTTTTATTTCGCCACTACTCTGTCGAGAGGAAAGGGGGGACAATATTGTAGCCCAAGTGGATCTTTTCATCATGAAAAAAAGACTGCTTTTGTTGTAATCTTGTAGTGATTCCCAGTCCGAATACATCATAGGTGCCGGGAGTCATAGAAATTCATTTAGCCGAAGAAAAAAAAATTGATTTGTTCTGAGGTATTGATATCCTGTACTCACCGGCGATATATACAGTCCTTAATTAGTCATCACACTCTTATATGGTTCCCGCGTAGTGTATAACGTATGAAATACAATGAGACACCCTGTACAGAGCCCGTGAATGTAACTATCGCAGCTTCATCTAATGTAGAGATTGGACTGTTAGTACACCGAATTAATAAACATTGAAATCTATATTTGTTTCCTTTAGGCATCATAATGTTCCAGTGCAGGTTCTGCGATTACTCGACAAATAAATTCCGGGACTTTTCAAGCCACAGAAAATTACATGCAAGTTTGAATGGCAATTTCTTCTGTGGATATAATCGAAATTCCATTGATATCAGTCATATTTCGACTCATCGTTCTTCATTTTCAAGAAAAAGAAGATGAGTTATTTCGATTTGAAGAAGTGAGTATGACCAGAGTGCTTCATATAGAATAATTGTCCTTGATTAATTGGCCTGTATTAACTCATTTATAAATTCGTTTTTTCAGGAGAACTTGACGGATGAACAACTCCTGGAAAACATTCCGAACCTCACTCCTGTTCTTGTCATAAAAGGTAAACATAATGTCGTTGTGAACCAGATTTGCGATCCATAATGACATCCCAGGCAATAATATGCTATTTCTCATTCTCAGGGCGATCACTTTATGACGAGACTGCAACACACGCAGTGGCACTGGACAAGAAAATCTTGATCCCAGTGAACGGAGTTCTTGATGGAATTTTATTGCTGTTCTCCCTTTACTACGTTTTCAGAGTTCTGTACCCAGACACACTCTCCCGTACTTTGGAATTCATTCAGAGGTATTTTTTCAAAGAAATATATGTAGATACGAATCATATTTAGAGAAATAATAATTCATAATTGTTGAGTCATTCGGAAATTCCTGATTCATCTTGTCGTTATTGCCAAAATGCTTATTTCAGAATATAAAATATGAAATTCTGCATTCCAGATGTTTGCTCAGAATGAATCCCAAAACTGGACACAAGAGAGCATCAAAAAAACAGAAGGCAACGCCTTTTGACCTGAAAGTCAAGAAATTCATCGATGGACTCCAGCAATATATAGAACATCCCTAAAAGCATGAAGCTCACCATATCAGCATATTTTGAACGGAGGAAATTAAAATGGGAAATCAATGAATTATGCTGAAAAAATTCTTGCTAGATCTTTGCTAGGGATAGTTTGAGTGCCATTATTATTTCGACTAATTTCAGTCAGATTCATGATGAATTTATGTGCAATTTCCATTTAACAAAAATAATTATGAAACATTATGAAATAATTTAATGACTTTTCCGAATATTAATGGATTGATTTTACTTTCTCAATACTTTTTCTTAATAAATTTATTGGTGTTGATCGTGAGAATTGTAATGTTTTGTTCATTATTCATATTTGAAAATTATAAAAAAAAAATCCCAATACCTACATGAGAATATCCGAATATAACTGTATGATTTTTACCATACAATTTTAAATAAAAATTATTGCACTCAAGTAGTAAAATAGTAATTCCGGTATGAGAAAATTACTACAGTCCCATGTAGCAAAAGTCTGATAATCTCATTTAAGTAAGTTGGAAAATTACCACAGGTAAATGTAGTATATTTACAACACGAATGGAATAGAATTGCTCTTCTTATGTAGTAATTTTACAATATTCGTGTATGCGAGTATTCCTTTTTTTTCCTAGAAAATTCTCATATGATAACTGTAAAAAAAGTGTTGTAATTTTACCACACTATGTGTGAATAAAACTTCCAACATTTTTGTTAGAATTTCGGGTCAAATTTTTTTAACAGTGTAGAATGCATTGGAAACTTTATACGCATTTCAATTGCGGATTATGATCCATGACGCAATTTTCTAAAGAACTGGAAGAACTTTCGAGAAATATTATATCCTTCATCATTATTTTTAGATTGTTTAGATTCGAGTAAAATCTTATCAGCCATTTCAATTTTCTCTTTTCGCAGAGAGTTCATGATTTTACCTTCGAGTTCTTTCTTTCGTTCTCCACTACTTCGTGATTTATCCTGAAGCTGACGATATTCTTTCACGATTTGATAATTTTCCAACAGATGAATTACATTCCAATATAAATCAAAGGCTGATTCTGCTGGAACATCACCATATCTAGTTTCGATGACGTTAAAATAATCAGAATCCAATGCTGGTCTTTCAGGTGCATAATAACACCGCATGACTCCAGGAGACCCATATGCTTTAATGATATCTCGAAGTAGTGACCAACCTTCTGTAGGATTATCACTAAAATATTTATCGACAAGAATTGCACAATCGTATTCATGAGGTGGCACATTGTACAAAAATTTCAATTCGTCTGAATTCCAGCGATCCATGATAGAAACTGATGATTCTCACATTTGGAATGGTTCTTATAATCCGCCTCGAATGTTCTAGAACCTCAATTAATGCCGTAATTTATTCGTTTGATGCGTAATAACTTGAAGATTCTGCCAGTTCACTTGAACTATGAGTCATCATTTTCGCAGGCTATAAAAAAGGCGATTTCTCAGGAGATATTCAGTCGCAAATCAAATTTCACTGGAGCAGTATCCAACCTATATATGTCAAGATGGAAGTCATTTTGGACGCACAAGGTTTGAGATCACCTTCTCATGAGTTCATCATTAAAGAATTGGCATTCATAAATATTCACACAAGTGATAATGGATTTGAGGGCCATAAATGTATCATTTTCAAACCTCCATATTCATGGGATGAATTACCATCAAAATATAAACATGTGAATTCTTGGCTGATTGATAACTTCCATGGAATATCTTGGGAAGCTGGTGATACACCTTACACTGATGTGAAACAAGTGGTTAAGAGAATTGCAAAGAATGCCTCTGTTATCTACGTTAAAGGACTGCAGAAAAAACAGTGGCTTCAGCAAATTCTAATGGATTCCAAACCTGTCATAAACTTGCAAGATTTGGACTGTCCTAAGTTAACTGACTTAACACGCCCAGAATATTTTCACAATCATAATAATCATGATGTCAAATACATGTGTGCTCTCGAGAATGTCAAACAACTGAAGAGATAGTATTTAAAAAATTGTACCGCATGTCTGGATCGATCTTTGAAAATGTTCTCTAAACATATGAGTTTGCACCAAATGAGTGCAGAGGATATCTCATTCTTCCCCAAGGAATTTTTACTTGTTTTTGCTTCCCATGGTATTGAAGATATCTGGCAGAAATTGCCAGCAACATTGAAACGAGATGCGAATATCGCTGGTTGTCGTAAATGTCGTGAACATTATCACGACACATCCGAGAACGGAAGAGTCAATGATGATTGATAAAGCACAACATTTCACAAATTTATACCTATAAAAAAGGATTGCTTCTTTTGTAAAGTACTCGAGAAAGTGTGAATTTTTTGTATTATTTTATGATTCAATTTCAACAATAAATATACATTGAATTATATGTTTAAATTTTTATTTTCTAGATTAATTCACAGATCAAAATTTCTTCCCACATCCCACGCCAATTAGCCCAAAGATTCTAGAAAATTCCGAAAACGTGTGGCAAATATTTTCAAAATTATTATTATTTTTTTTTCTATTTCATTGGTTTTATCGAAATAATTCTCGATTTGAAACCCCTCCTTTAGCCTGCCACCCCTCCTTTCTTTTCCTCTCATTGTTATCTGTGGTATCATGGCCGTCTTACTCTTAGCTGTGCCCCATTCGAGCTAGGACTGCACGGGAAACCATGTAAAACCCCAGTCGTACAGCCGGCCGATTGTGCAGTACCCTAATATATCCATCTGTCACACTGACTAGATGGAGACACTAGGCCGCTACACTGTACCTACCGCCCGCAATTTTTGTGCGAGCGAGGTGTTCCTGAGCGGTCATCCATCCAAGTACTAACCCAGCTCAACGCTGCTTAGCTTGGATGTCCGCCGGAGCAACACCTCACCCACCTAACCATTACAGTCGGTTGGTTTTCAAAATTATATTCAATGTTTCTCCTCGTAATAATCTTCTCGCCCCCGTTCTCCTAGCCTTCTCCTGGCCGCACTCTCCTCGCCCCCTCGCTCCTGGCCGTGCTCCGACAATGTTTTTCTGATCCTCATGACCGTCCCTCATCCCCGCACCGGAAAATTGTAGAACATTCTACCATACTCAAATCATGCACCTATAACTGCTTGACCCTCATGAATCATAATTAGTTCTAGAACATTCGAAAAAAATGTATAGCAAACGTTTTCTAAACCTGCAATATTTAATTACCCCGTTCACCTCGCCCCTCCCTCGCGGCGGCTATCTGACCCTCATGAACCTCCCCCCCCACCGGAATCTTCTAGAACATTCTACTACTTCCCTCCCCGCACCAGACCCTACCCAAACCTTCTAGCAGCCCCCTCTCCCCTCCCGGCACCAGCCCCTAGCCGAACCTTCGAAAACATTCTACCACCCCCTTTCCCCCTCACCGCACCAACCCCTAGCGTAACCTTCGAGAACATTCTGCCACCCCCTTCCCCCCTCCCCGTAGCAGCCCCTAGCCAAAACTTCTAGAACATTCTCCTAGAATGTTCTAGGAGATAAGTTCCCCTAGAACTTCTCTCCCCTTCCATTCTCAATTTCTGCTCTTGATTCAAAGTTTTGTAGACCTTTCAAATGAAGATTTTCTCGCCTTTGATTCAAGAGCCCGTTTTATCGGAAATTCCTTGAAAACAAAGGCGCGCGACTTTGAACGCATTACGGGCGTGTGATGTCCGGATATTACAGCCGAAATTTTTGGCGCAGTCGGTAGGACACCTTTTCTTCCATTGCTCTTACTGAAATTTGGTTTTATAGACATTTGAATAAAAAAAAATAATTCTTTATTTTGATCCTTCAACGTTTTATTGAATCTTCATTTGACTTTTCCGTTAATCTATAACCAACAAACTCATAAATTAATCATTATTAGGACTCATCCTTGAGTTTTTGCTGTTACTATGGCAAATTCTGTCAACCTGACCTTCCAAGGTCAGCCCACAAATCGAGCCAATACCACTTCTTTGGCAGAAGATTATGCTCGTGCAAGGGACATATCCATTTCAGTCTCAGTCTTCTCTGGTGATACCACTCATTGTAGTTTTGAAGAATTCAAATGCTGCGTTCGAACCAATCTAGATTCCTCTACCTGTAGAAGAAAATAGAAGAAGAGAATACTTTATTCAAATCGCTAAGAAGATAATCCCACCGGCTAAATTGTTAATTGTAAATAAGGAAGTTAGCTCCGTCGAAGATATCCTTAATCTTCTCGCCGAGAAATATGGTGAAACAAAAAGACCAGACGCATTCATCTATCAAATGCGAAACCTTATTGAATATAAAAATGAATCCTTGAATGATTTTTTGATGCGATTGGCAGTCCTGGAACAGAAGTGCAACAATTCGATTTTACGTCATATAACTGAAGAGGCCGATCAAACGTTGAAAAAAACTTCGCGACGGGTCAAGCCATAAATAGATTTCGAGAATACGTGACCCCTCATCTTCGGGAGCTTATAAAGAAAAAGAAAGCCACTATGCTGGATGCAATACACCAAATTATCGCCTCTGAAGAGTATAACTTTGTCCCTGACGTCCCAGTGCTGGAGATGAAAGTCAATAGGCCCATTGCAGCTTCTGACTACCCGACGGTTGACCAATATTTGCATGGGATGGTAAATACATCTTTCCGGTCTCAACCTTACCCTTCGCAACAGAGTTATTCCCAAGTTAGTGGGACCCCCTTTCAGCCAAACGAAACGCCACGACCAATAAACTATTTTGATCCGACATACAATAGCTCTTATCAAAAACCGAATAACTCATACTTCTACGGTAACGGGGGCCCTTACGATCAAACCTATCGGCCTAGGCATCCAACCCTGCAAAGAACTCAACAAGCACCGACGAGTTCTCTGAACCTTAATGGGAGTTTCGGAACCTTATCACCTCGGACCCCAACACACTAAAACACGCGAGCTGCCCCAACCGAGCACCCGATGGCTATGGGGGTCACCTTCAACGAAGATCTGGGAACGATGACTTTTTCGTTGCACGAACCGAATCCGTTTGCGGCACCTCCATCCGAATATTTAGCTCCTATTATGGCAGAAAGCTCTAACTTATACCGAAGGCTCGATAAACAAGATGAAAAACTGACATTACAAGGTGACCAGTTGCTCCAATTCGGGGAATTGCTGAAATAAGTGTCGAACAAACTTGACAGACTGACCACAAATGGATCAAGACCTCGTAATCCCAACTCCAGAGACCAGTCCCGCGATAGAAACCCCAACCCCGCTCAGGTGCCGTGCCATCCTGCCGAAACCTCTCCAATCCCCAT